GCCTCCAATTTACAACATAGCCAAGGATGATCTTGAAGTTCTGATCCTCTTGCTTCTATCTCCTGAGAGTTGGAATGTCAAGCATGCACCTCCATCCCTGGTTTCTATGGTGTTGGGGTAAAACTCAGGGCTTTGTACAAGCTAGGAAGCACTCTGCCAACTGAACTGCGTTCCCAGCCCCTGTTGTATATCTTGATAAATATGTGATACCTCTATATTTATCCTTTTTCCTCAGAATTGCTTAAGCTATTCAGGCCTTTTTGTGGTTTCATATGAATTTTAGGATTCTTTTTTCTGTTTCTGTGACTGTCTTTGGGATTTCCATAGGGCTTATGGTGGTTTGGATTGCAGTGTAGTATTGTTACATTAATTCTTCCAGTATGTAAACATGGGATAGCTAGCCACTTATTTGTGTCTTTCTTGATTTTTCTCATTGTTTTGTAGTTTTCAACGAATAGGATTTTATCTCCTTGGTTCCATTTATTCCTAAGTATTTTATTTCATTTTCTTCCTATAACTGTTGTGAATGGGACTTTCCTGATTTCCGTTTTGGTAGTTTGCTGTTAACATAGAAACAGTACTGAGTTTTGCATGTTACCCCCCGCCTCTGTTTGCTTTATTTTTACATATAACTTCTATATCTGATTTGCTGGGCTTATATCATAAAAGGATGCTGAATGCTATCAAATGTTTTCCTTGTATCCTTTTGAGAGAGAATCTCATTATATAGTGCAGGCTGATCTCAAACTGTTGGTAATCATCCTGCCTCAGCAAGTGCTAGGATTATAAGAGAGAGCCATCTTGCCCAGATCCCACATTTACTGATTTGTGAATGCTTCCTTTATTCCCAGCCATTGGATCACAGTGAGTGGTCCCTTTAAGATGCTGGTGGGTTCTGTTCCTAGCACTTTACAGTAAGTACCATGTGGTAACCAATTGTACTTCTAGAGCTCTGAATTTTCTGTATTAATGTTCCCTAGGGGCATGCGGCCTGTTGCTTTCTTTTCTGGCTTTTTATCAGGGCAGTCCTGGTTCTGCTTTTCAATTTGCTGTAATGAAATCATATCATAATGCTTCTGTTGATTAATGTCATACTTAGGAGCTCTATCCACAGGGTTTCATGCAACAGTATGTTTATGTTCCATTATATGAATAGACAACAGAAAAGACTTACCCAGTCATTGTTGATGGACCTCAAATTGTTTCTGAGTTTCAGTATAACAAATTCTGCTGTCCAAACTGGAAATTTTGGTGCAAGTTTGTAATCCCAGCACTTGGGAGGTAGAAGGAAGATCCTAAGTTCAAGGTCGTCCTCATAGTGAGGTACATGAGAAAGAAAAAAATCGGTGCTAAACATTCTTGTTTTCTCCAGGCATGGTGGCACACACTTTTAGTCCCAGCACTCGGGAGACAGAGGCAAAGGTGGGAGGTAGGTGGATATCTGTGAGTTAAAGGCCAGCCTGGTCTGCATAGAGAGTTCTAGGCTAGCCAATGTTGTATAGTGAGATCCTGTCTTAAAAAAATCAAAACAAACAAAAAACCCCTTGTTTTCTGCTGAATCTTGCTAGTACGCTGCAGCTATAAATCCAGTGTCCTTGCACTTGTGGTCTGTGTGGACTCTTCATTCTTTTCTGTTCCCCTAGTCAGTTTATCTAACCTGGGACTTTAGAACTTTAAGACAAGCTGCTTGGCTGGGGTGTAGCTCCTCTGGCTGGGTCTCTGTTGATAATTTTGACTGTTCCTGGCCCTTTGTGTGCTAATCGAGGCTGATGTTGGACTCATACTCAGCCTGTACTCTGTCTGATTCTTAGACTGCCCTAACACTAGCTCCGCTATCCTTTTTTTCAGAGGCTCCTACTTCAGAAAAGGACTATTGTATGGACGGAGAGGCCACAAGGAGGCCTTGGCTTGACCCTGGGGCCCTGGAGCCCAGGCTTAGTCAGAGCTCCTGAAGGAAGGGCTGGGCCGCAGGCTCAGCCTAGGCAGTGGGGTGTGGGCCCTGGTTGGCACCCAGCCATCAGGAAGAACACTAGGCAAACAGATGCCTGACCCAGTGGGTAGAAGAGGGTGGCTCCAGCTGACCAGTGCTGGCTGAGACTAACATCCCCTGAGCCCTACTTCTCTTGAGCTTACTGCCAATCACCTTTGTTGTCCATTTGGCAGTTATTGAATCCAAGACTCCCACCATCGGTTCTGGGATTGCAGAGGCCCTTGGCATAGGCTCTGTCTCCAGAGGGTATGCAGTGGGCTCGGGAGATGGGCAAGGAGTGTACTACAGATGGGCACAATGTAATGGGTGCTGGCCTCTAGGGGGCTCCAGTTGTCCAAGGCAAGGAGTAGATTGTAAAGGCTTGTGCAAAGCCCTGAGGTCACAGTTTGAGGAGAGTGCAAAGAGGTAAAGGGACAAGACTGGCAGAGAAGGGCAACAGGTGGGTGTCAGACAGCTGGGAATCTCAGACTGTCCTTAATACCACATAGGGTCTTGACCAGCTCTAACACAGCATAAGGATACTGTCCTAATTTGCTTTCTGTTACTGTGATAAACATCATGACCAAAAGGAACTTGGAGCGGAAAGGGTTTATTTCATCTTATACTTCTAGGTAGCAATCACTGAGGGAATTCAGGGCAGAAGCTCAAGGCAGTAACCTGGAGGCAGGAACTGAAGCATGAACTCCTCCATGGAGGAGTGCTGCTTACTGGCTTGCTTCCCTAGCTTACTCAACCACCTTTCCTATACAGCCCAGGCCCACCAACCCAACAAATACTAACCAGTACAGATACTGAGGGCCAGAGGTGACCACACTGGGAGCTCAGGCCTAGAGAGAGGTGCTGGGGTGGGAAGCCAGCTCTCTTGCCTCCCTGTTTGTGTGTGCCTGGAGTTACAGGGAGAGGCTGAAGACTCTACCACCCCATGAGGCTCTGACCTAGTGTGGTACAGTGGGAGGTGACTTTGGAGGGTGCAGGGGGCTGAGTGAGCAAAGGCTAGGGCCCAGGAGAGACTTAGAAGTAGGCCAGGGTTGTCAGCCTACCTGATAGGGGAGAGGGAGGTGACTGAGATGTGGCAGACCCTCTGCTGGTAGGTCCTGTCCATCTGCGTGTCCTCCCCTCCCCTGCCCCAGCCCACCTTTTCCTGGCTGCCCCATTTCTTCTTCCCATGAGAGCAGACACTCTCTGTGCTGTTGGCACCTCTGTGGCCTGGAGAACAGCCATAGGCCTCATTTTCCAGCCTGACTGTGTGATCTCAGCCCACTTGCTCCCCCTCCGTAGGCCCTCTGGGCTCTGAAATACTGGAATTGTAATAGCTGATTTCTCCTCCCTGCCTCAGCTTCTCTGATCTAATTCTCCCAGCTTAAATTGCTTCCTGAGCCCAGGCTGCTGGAAGCCTGCAGGGCTAATGACCCTGCTTGGTGCCTGATGGCCATGAGGCTTTCCAGGCTCCACTTTCTCTTTCCCCAGGGTTCCAAGGCTGAGGGCTGAGGGCTGAGGGGATTGATCTCCTTGGGCATAGGGGAGACCAGAGAGGTTACATTGTTGGCATGAAGTCACACAGCAACTCTGAGGGGATGTAGTTGTGGAAGATGCAGTGGCTACAGATACCCTGAAGGACACAGTCAGTTCTCAGCCAGTGGGATGATGACCCTCACTGCTATCCTTCTGGGTTCATACCATCCAATGTCACCTCCTTTCCTGTCTTCCCCTTCCCCAGCTCAGCTGAGGGGTATATGGGAAACCTGCCTGCCCAGAGTCCAGCCCTTTCTCCAAAATGGCAGCATTCTGAGGCCACAGTGGGGCACCCAAATCTGAGGACCCAGGTTTGAGTCCACTTTCTTCCATGAGAACATGGGTAAGGTGCTCCACCTCATGGAGCCTCTTTCTGAAACTGCTCTCAACAGGGGACACAAACTCAATGGCTTATAAATGGTGAGTGCTGGAGAGCTGGACTCTCCAGGAATGAGAGGAGGCTTTGCCCCTCTGCTCTCTTTCCTCTGCCCTCTGCCCTTGGCTGATTGAAATGGCATCTTCCTGTTATTGAAACAGCCTTGTTCTCATCCTGGAGAAGAGAGGAGGATGGGGACTCAGAGAGGCTGAGCCGCTTATTCAGGGTTTACCCAGTGGGTGAGTGGTATCCACTCACCTGCTTTCAAGCTTTGACTTAGAAGCCAACCTACTCTGCCTCAATTTCCCTCATGGCCTGCCTGAATTCTCGATGAGATGACAGTGCTGCCCTGGGAAAGCCCCAAGATGAGCAGATCTGGAGGGGTTGAGGGATGGAATGTGAGAGATACGTCCCTTGTCAACATTCTGGGGTCAGGCCCTACTGGCTGCTGCTCCCCAATCTGGCCTACTCCCTGGGGCCTTCCCTGACTATGTTGGTGAAGTGTGTGTGAACATGGTCAGCATACAAGGTACAGGGTATGGGGTGGGCCTCTGGCCCCCTGAGGAGTGAAGACCTCCGGATGCCAGGACCCTACTCCCTACTTAGGTGTGAGGTAGACACAGAAGGCAGCGTGCTGTGGGGAGGGAGGCAAGATTGAGTGACTGATGGCTGGGGGAACCTGTTCCAAGTCTTTCCCCTGCTGGGTGGAAATGGACCTGGGTGAGAGAGACCCAGGAGATACAGCTGAGTCTTGTGGATGTGACACTGGCCACAAGCTGCTAGAGTTGGCCACTTGTGTGACTCAGTCCCAGGGCTATAGGGAAGGATGGTTAAACAAGAAAGGGAGAAGGAGGTGGGCGTGGCCTGGACCAGCCCTGAACACCCAGCATGAGGGCCTCCAGGCACTAAATAGGAGAGGTCTGAACAGCCGAGGCAGGCAGTGGGCTCCGTTTTTTGCTTTGTGGTGTACCAGGTACTAGCTGTGTGACTTTGGACAGGCCTCTGCCCCTCTCTGAGCTACCTTCTATTATGGAGATGCTACTGGAAGGGGAGCACACCGGCTTGGAGCTCAGCAGGGACTCTCGATACCCTGAGTAATGGTTCCTGCCTCCTCTCCTCTAGGTGCCTCCCCTCCTTGGGGACGTGGCCACCATGTTCTCGTGTGTGAAGGCCTATGAGGACCAGAACTACTCAGCACTGAAGCGGGCCTGTTTGCGCAGGAAGGTGCTCTTCGAGGACCCCCACTTCCCTGCCACTGATGACTCACTGTACTACAAGGGCTCCCCAGGGCCCATGGTCAGGTGGAAGCGGCCCAAGGTCAGTGTCTGGTCTCCCTGGTGATGGAGAAAATGGGCCCTCATCCCACTGGTAGCAACCTGCCCAGCCAGGCCCTCTAGGGCCAGGTGTAGTCATGGCCCGAGGTTGCTCAGGTTCCTTTGGCATGAATGTGAAATGTGGAGGATGGGCCCTTTGTTCAGTAAAATGAAACTTGATGTTCAAGTTTACTTTCCTGATTATCACAGTGATTTGGAAAGTCACTTCCTATACAAAGGGAAGAATGTTTTGTGGTGGTTAATCACTGTGAGGATGGATCTGTGGGTAAATGATACAGAGCCCCTCTGACTCTTATGCTGGTCTAGGGCCTGGGACTAACATGCTAAACAAAAGCAGAAATGTGTGGTCCCATGGTGTGACTACTGCCTCTGATTCTCATGTATGTAGAAGAGTTCTGGAGATTGGGGTGCCTGGGGCCTGGGTGAAGGGGGTGGGCACTAGAGGACATGGGCCCAGACCCATCTTCAAGCTTCATGGCCATGTTGGTGACACCCAGAGTCAATCGCCAACAAGGGACTTTAGTGTGGGAGACCTGGCCCTCCCAGGTCTCAGAAAAGGCACCTTGAACTTTGGGGTTGGGCCTGTGGGGACGGTGCCAATCACAAGGAGACTGGCAGGCCCAGGTATTGGGTTCCCTCTGGCCATTGAAAGGCAGGTAGGACACAGGGCAGGTAGGGGAGTGGGGGTAGGGGAGAGAGGCCCTGGGTGCTTAGCCTACAGGTCTACAGACCCTGGTTGATATGCCAGCTCTGAGGGTGTGTGGAGTCACACAGGGCCCTAATTTCAGCAGGCCCTGACAGTGAGGCTTGCATTTTCCATTCCTTCTGGTCTCTGGACATTTGGGAGCAATGAAATTCAATCTTCATTTTCCTTCCCTGGCCTAGGCCCCTACTCCCTTCCCACCCAACCCTGGCATTGCTGTGAGCTGGGGCTCTTGATGAAGAGGTTGAACCAAGGCTGAGAGAAGAGATCATCTATATCCTGGTGGCCCACTGGGCTTCTGAAAGTGGTAGGCTAGCACCTAGGAGTCCTGCCCCCAGCCCCTCCATGGCACCATGTAAAAGGTCCCTGGTCCTTAGGCCTCAGCCCCCTGATCTGTGCAGAGCTTCTAACCCTAGCTTGCTTCTTTGAGCAGGCCACAGGACTTCAGCCTGCTCTCCGTCTCCTTCTGCCCTCTGCAATGGCGTGGGGAAGGAGCTGGCCTCAAAGGGCCTTTGTGAGGTCCTGACTCCAGTGAGAAGTGGACACTTAAGCTCTTTGCCTCTTCCTTCTCCTCCTCAGTGTCCTTGTCCTGACCCCCTCTCTGAGACTGTGGGCCATGGCCTGGAAGCGGCCAGCAGGGCAGGTCACTGCCCTCCCTAAGCCCTTTCCTCCAGGGTTCAGGAGTCTTATCTTCCTCTTCTCTTCGTTACCTCTCTCCTCTGCACCTGTCTAACTGCCTTTCTAACCCCAGCTGAAGAGGAAAGGCAAGCTGTCTACCTTGGCCAGGAAGTGGCAGGTGGGGTTGCCATGGGTGGAGACATCAGAGTAGGGCCCACAGGGCAGCAGTGAGGGCTCAGTTCTCAGTCAGGAAGCAGGTCAGGCTTGAGTCCACTGGACAGAGTGTGCTGGGCAGGGTGAGGCTTCTTGTATGATGAAGACCATGTGTTGGGTCTGAAGCAGAGGGGAAGTGGAGCTGGCCTAGGTCAGGGGTGGGGCCATCCAGCTCCTAAACATTAACTCCCAGCTGCTTGGGCTTTGACCAGAGATAAAACTGGCCTGAGGCAGCTATGTGTGTGAAGTCCTGTTTCCTGGGTCCTGGGACCTGTCAGGCTGTTTACAAACCAGAGCAAAGTGCTGTTTTCCTGCAGTGCATTCTGATTCCACTTCTCCAGACTTCTAAGTTGGTCACTACGGTGACTTCTCTGTTCTTAGAGATTCTTTTTAGACAGCTTCCAAACCCCAAGCTACTTAGTGTCTCCCTATCTCCTATCCTTCCTGTCTCCAGCTCCTCAGCCTCTTAGCTTCCTATCTCCCAGTCCCTCAGGCCCTCAGCCTCCATGCCTCCCAGTCCCCATGGAGGCAGCCACAAGCTTCCCTCCCCGACTTGCCCTCATCCTCCTTGCCAGCCTTGTGGTGGGTGTTCAGAGTTGGCTGGGTGGGGGTGGGGGGCTCCTTATCTACTCCGTAGATGGCACCAGGCTTTGTCCTCTTTGGCAGGAGCTTCACAGTGATCATCTGCATTGCTGGCTAGAGGAGGAAGAGGTGATGGAAGCTCAGGGGCCCAGGGGCATGGGCAGAAGCCACTTCTGGCTCTCCAGCCTCCATCCAGCTCTCTGACTCCCTATATCTAGACATCAACCTGGGGGTCCTGGGTAGAATGCATGGGGACATGAACTATGTCTATGAATGTGTGTCAGGTTGGAAGCCCCAGCATTTCACCAGGAAGCCTGGTGTAACCGCCTACCCAGGAATTCATGCTTGTTTTTGGAAAGGTGCTACCCTCAGGGTGTTGACTCCTGGACCCATCCCCCCATGAGGCTATGGACAGGCCTCTTCTTTGCCCCACACTGGCCCCTTTGGGTACCTGCTCCTAGTCTGCTCAGTGTCAGGGAAGGCCACTGGTATTAGAAGAGGTGGAAAACACAAGGGTTAAATTGCTGAGGGAGATGGGGGAGGGCGTAGGGACAGTTATAGAGGGAGCACCACGCTCTTGTGACTATTCCATTGTGTTGTAGTCAGAGGTCCTGCAGTGGCCACTCCTTTTGTGATCTTAATTCAGGAGGGAGAATGGGGGAAGGACAGGATGGGAGGAGAGGCGGAGTGCCCCACAGGTGCAGTCCCATGCCTGGTTGCACAACTGCTGCCTGCCTCCTTTCTGGCTGTGTTCCTGGCTGTGCACTGGCCTTGGAAACCTGAATTTCCTGCTGAGCCAGGAGGGAGGTGGCATAGGCCTGACCAGATCTGGGCCAGCTGGTATCACAGGCTGAGGTAACTGCGAGTTCAGAAGGCTGTGCCCTGGAGGCATGTTGATCAAAGGAGCAGTCACCCCAGCCCTGGAGGTGTCTCAGCACAGTGCTCACAGTGGGCCCCATACAGTCCAGTCAAGGACACTTTGTCCTCCCTTTTGACCCTGTCTGCTACCCTTGTCCCCTACTTGCCTTTCCCTGCGAAACACCTCCCTAGCCAGAGAGCCCATAGGATAAGGGACCTAGAGACAAAGCTGTAACCACAATCTAAGGTCCTGGGTGTGACTTTAAACACCCAGAACCAGAAGACAGGAACTGATTAAAGAAAATAGATGTATTTGCAGTTTTGGCCTTGCCTGTACTAGTGTTACAATTCATAGGAAAGATGAAATAATAAACAGGAAATCGGGGCTGGAGAGATGGCTCAGCGGTTAAGAGCACTGACTGCTCTTGCAGAGGACCCAGGTTCGATTCCCAGCACCCACATGGTGGCTACAAACCGTCCTTAACTCCAGTTCCAGGGGAATCCAAAGCCCTCTTCTGACCTCCATGGCATTGCACGACATGGGTGCACTCACATACATGCAGGCAATACACATAAAATAAAAATAATACATAAAATATTTTTAAAAACCCAGGAAATCTGGGTAGACAGATGAATCTTTTCCTGGGAGACAGCACCTCTCTAAGGAATTTGTCTTCTGCAACTAGGGGCTCAGCAGCACGGAATTTCCTGGAAACATTAAACATTTTTTAGGGCCACTATTACAAAACTGATGTAGGCAGGGCTAGAAGGTAAACAGGTGGCCTGGCACTATGGCTGTGTGCGCGCGTGTGCGTGTGTGTGTGTGTGTGTGTGTGTGTGTGTGTGTGTGTGTGCGCGTGCGTGCGTGCGCGCACGCGCAGCATCCTTCTAGGCTATAGCTGGACCTCAACTTCATCTTTGGGGTCCTTGTTCTAAGCCTCCTACCCACCAGCTCCCACATCTGCTCTGAAGGCATCACCTTCCTGTTGGTCTCTTGGGTCTCTGCTCACCTGGAGGCTTGGGTCGGGCTTCTTCTCTCCTGCCTGTGGCCAGCCAGTGGCCCAGGAAAAGTGGAAGGCAAACACTAGTCTTGAGAAGTCTGGGTGCACGGTGACTGGTAGGGGCTGGACCCCCCTTCCTCTTTGATGATACACAGAGAGCTCTAAGCTGGGCTTTGGACAAGTGCAGGAGACAGGAAAAAGAATGGTGGCTTTGTTACCTATAGGACCCAGCCTATCTAGTGACTGGAGCAGATGGCCTGAGTTTGAGTCTTGTTCACCCTTCTATGTGACCCTGGGCAAGTGACCTTGCCTCTCTATGCCTTGTTTTCCTTATCTGTGGAAGAGCCACCAGCAGTACTCAGTTCCCAGGGTTCTTCTGCACAGGGTCTGATTCCCAGCCGGAGCAAGTTAGTGAAACCTTTTCTGTGATGTTCCCTTAGAGGTGTCCCAAGGTGGCCTCTGGATTCCAGGTGCCACTCACCTCGTGTGTGCCCTAGGTCAGAGCTGGTACGCTCCTAGGGGACACCCCTGTGCCTTCTTTGCCTGCTCTTTCTCAGGCTGTGATTGCTCCAGGTTCCTGCTCTGTCCAGGGATGGGATAGAACCTGGAAGCTGGACTCCTGAGCTCTGTTTCTTCCAGTCTTGCCAGGGCTGCAGAGATGTTGGGCCAGAGTCCTGTTCTGGGTCAGAATCAGGCTGGTACAGCTGTGCAGTAGTGGGGAGAGCCCAGGTTGGAAGCTCAGCTAACCTTTTTGGCCCTGTCTGCTCACTTGATTGCCCCTGACCTTGGACATTTCTGCTTCATCTGGAGTGGGACTGGCCTGTCTGTCACAGGACACTGATTAGGAGGCACCTCGATGTCATCTCCCCACTGCAGTCCTGTTGATATCAGGTGGTGGCTCTCCCCTGTGGCATGTCGTGGAGTCCTCTAGATGTAAAGCTCCCTATCCTGCCTCCCGCAGGACCTCAGCTGCACATTCTAAGCCACTGCTCCTGGTGGCTGGGAAGCTGGGCTGGGTGCAGCCAGCTGGAAGATAAGATAGGAGGCTGAAGGGGCTAGCAGGGCTAGACTTCTGGCCTGAACTTCCTGAGAATGGCCTTGGGGATAACTTGTAGATCCCCTCACTGGGTTTCCCCTGACTTGGAATAGGAGAACCCAGACCTGTGCCCTAGGGAAGCTACCATGCTGCCTGGTCCTGGCTCACTCTAGTCCCAGCTAGAATGAGGGGTTGCTGGTGCCCTCAGGGGAGTTAACGATTCCCTGGCCCTATAACTCTGGTTTTTCTGGGTAGATGAGTCCCAAACACTATACTGAGACCCCTTCATCCCATTTCTCCTGTAGAGTGCTCCATCTGTGGAGGCTGTACATAATCCTGCAGTCCAACACTTGAAATAGAGGCACAGAAAGGAAGAGCCATTGGCCCAAGTTTGCTTGGCCAGTAAGTGGGGTGTGGGAATTGAGGTTTGTCTTATAAACTCTTCTGCCCTCTGCTGGCTGCCTGAGGGAGGGCCTCAGCAGGTGAGCTGTGACTTTGAGCCCAGAAGCAAATCTGGTGATGTCTGAAGAGGCAGAGGCTCTCCTTGCCTGCTGTGTGGCTGGGCCTTGGTATGTGACTGTTCCTGGAGAGCTTGAGAGGGCACTAGCAGACCAAAGAAAGGACTTTGCCTTAGGCCAACCTCGGGAACCATCGAGTTTATAGGGGCTACTTATAGGAGTATGGATGGCCATGCCACTGAGAAGTCACACCTCAGTAAATTGTTTATATGGTGGGAGTGAGACTCACAGCTATGCCTAACCTTGCACTCTGTGTGGGTGGATTTCTCTCCCTCCCTCCCTCCCTCCCTCCCTCCCTCCCTCCTGTGCCTACTGAAAGATCCCGCCAATACACTTGCACAGCTTTCAGATATGTTTCTAAATCTGTGAGACACTCAGAGATGAACATAATATAATGGAATCTTACAGAGGTTGGCAGGGTCTCTGAAGGTCCACTGCTGTCCATTCCAAGTAAATGCAAATTGATCTTGCGACTCATCAGCTAAGGGGATCTTAAAAGGACAAAAAGCATTAGCAAGGTCCGTGGAGTATAAAAAGATGCCACCACTTATTTGGCTGTTCCCTCAGAAGAGTAACGTTGGAAGCCAGCGAGATGGCTCAGTGAGTAAAGGCACTTGCTGCTCAAGTCTGACAACCTAAGTTCGATCCCTGAAACCCATGTAAAGGTGGAAGGAGAGAACCAACTCCATAGAAGTTGTCTTCTGACATTCATACATGAGCTGTGGCACACATATGTCCCCCCCTCCCAAAAACACACACAGTTATTTTAAAAGAGCAGTGTTTGGATGGGGGCTCCACTTCATCCAGCTCTTGGTGATGCATAGTCATTTTCATGGGCCATCTGATTCCTTCCCACACTGAGAGGGCTTTGGGCTGACCGCTCAACTTTACAGAGGCCCGTTTTACCCAGCTACACATGCCTGCCTTTATAAAACTGTGCCCTCAGGGGAAACACCAATAGGGATGTGCAAGGTGGGCCTAGAAACACATTCATCTTCAGTATTTATTTTCTTTGAGGGGAGAAATGCTTCCTCTGGGAGGGGTGACCGTATGCCTCTAGGACAAGCTTCATCCTTTTTACCTGTACTGTTCTGTCTCCATATCCATCTAGTCCCTCCTCCCCATGTTTTTGGAGTTGCCATGATTGAGTTATATGTGACCCAACCATCCACAAAAGCCCAGGTATTCTGTATGTAAGGGACTACCACCACCAACAACAATAACCCCATCATTTGTATCATTCGTTATGGGGCCTTCAGTCTCCCCACCTGGCCTTCATGTGTAGGCAGCATTAGGCACATTGGTAGGGGAGTGCCCAGGGTGGTTCCCACCCCAGGAGATCACCTTCCTCTACAGTAGCGGATGTGGTGGTGATCATCTGGACCCCCTTCAGTGAACTGTTACCCTGGCTTGTTATTCAGTGAACTGACTTCAGTCAGGTACCCCTTCAGTGAACTCTGGCTTGGAGCCTTCCAGGGACTCCAAGCACAGCATATGACCATCCTCTTTGCCATCCTTCAGGTAGACAAACTCCCTCTGTCCAGACAACTCAGCCTTGGTTGTGTGTCTTATCACCCTTAGTGAGGGTCAGGCAGCTGCCTGCAGTTACCCCCATGACTTTCTTACAGTCCTGTCCTATGTGTGCTGCTTTCAGAGACTGCAGTATATTCTCTAGTTTGGGGGACATCCATGTAGCCACCCCACACCACATAGAGGAGATGGTTGTACCAGGATTTTTCCTGGGGTGCACCACCCTGATTTTCCTTGGAGGCAGAAATCTCAGCCTTGGTTGTTACATCTTACGACCTTTAGCAGGTACATGCAACTGTTACCCCAGCTAAGAACCGTGTCTCTCCATATCACATAGAGGAGGATAGCCACCCCTGAGTTTCCTCATGGATATCCCACCCTGATGCAGCTTTGGTCCTGTGGGACCTCTGTTTACGTGGTAGTAGTGTGACTATTCTTGGGGGAGATGTAAAGAAACATCTGTTTGCCCCAGAGAGGGAGGGCCTGGACAGATAAAAGAAAAGATTGTGTGAACCAGTAAGTAATGGAGTTACAGGTGCAAGCGTAGCTCACAAGCAGCGGCACCACCCAGGAGTCCCATCCCCAGTCAACTGTCACTCTGACAAGTCGCTGCCCCTCTCTGAGCCTCCATTCATCATCCATAGAATGCAATAGCAACTCCTGCCACCACCTAAAATTCCTCTCTTTGTAATCATGGGTCTTTTGTCTCATCCCTATATCCTCACTGAACTGGCCTCATGGGCTGGCTGATCAGGGAGGGTCACTCTGGGCAAGAAGATTGATCTAGGGTCCACCATCCTGAGTTCTTCCTCACACTTCATTTGTTAACACATCTTGATGGAAGAGTTCTCTAGCCAGCGAAGGGAGACGTGGCTCATACAGAACCTGAGAAAAGCTGGATTTGGGAGTGGTCAGCCATGCTCTCCTTTACCCTTCTCTGCAGGGTGTACAGATGACCCCCACTGGACATCAAGTCCCTTTCCTGCTTTAGGTGGGCAGCCTGTGCTCCCTGCCCTCATGTTCTCCTTCCCTCTCTACAGGACATCTGTGAGGACCCCCGCCTCTTTGTGGATGGTATCAGCTCCCATGACCTGCACCAGGGCCAGGTGGGCAACTGCTGGTTTGTGGCTGCATGCTCGTCACTCGCCTCTCGAGAGTCGCTCTGGCAAAAGGTGAGGCCTGAGTTGGGTGACTGTAGGGGTTGTTTGAGCAACCCGTGGTTCTTATGGCCTCATAGGTGTGGTGTCTGTGAGGTGGGTGGGGCTTCCTGAAATTCTATGCAGGGATGGGGTGAAAATTACAGTTGGTAGGCTGGCCTTCCCTCACCTGTGAGCTAGGGATCCTCAGGATGGCTCCCAAGGTGATTCTGATGTGTCCCCTCCCCACCAGTGTCCCCAGAGCAGAGAATTTGTGTGAAATGTGCACACTGCCTGTGTCATCCTCTGTGTGGAGACATTACTATCAGCACTCAAGGAACTCCTGCTGGTGACTGCTGTGTGTCCTGGACCAGTTGCTGTCCTTTGGGCCTTAGTTTCTCTAGTCCTTCAGTAGGGCATAGTCTAGACAATCCCTAGTGTCCTGATTCCTAGGTCCATGATGCTGATGCCTTGGGCCAGGGACAAAAGTTTGAAGTTGGAAGAAAGACCACGCCTGCCACTTGGTCCTTTTGTGATAACATTCAACAGGGGAACCTTAAATACAGTACTTAAAGTTTCCATTCTGGGGAGGCTGAAAGGGTTGAGTGGAGGCCACATTCAGAGAGTTACTGCAGAGATTTCAGGAGAGATCAGGTTTTGGTCATGGTCCAGGTCATTGCCTCTTCCCCATCTCTACCCTTCCTGGTCTTCCTGGAAGGGGCTGGCAGCAGTGTAGGAACAAGAGGCTGCTGATGCGCCGGCCTTACCAGTTGGAAGCTATGTGATCGGCTTCAGAGTGGAGTAACTGCCGCTCAGGGAAGTGTGAGAGGAGGGTGTGATGGTGCAGTGCTCCCAGCACTGGGGAGAAGGAAGAAAAGGATCTGGAGTTTAAGGTCATCTTCTGCTACATAGTGAGTTCAAGGCCAGTTTAGGCTGCATGAGACCCTCTCAGAAAGCTATGAGGAAAAAGGAGAGACGCTGTTCTTATAGCTATCCTGGCAGTGTGGCTCCCAGTCAGTGGGGACCACACAGACTTGGATTGAGATAGTTACTATTCCTAAAATGTGGGAGTGTTCTGGGTCAGCGAGATGGCTCAGCTGGTAAAGGCACTTGCTGCCAAGCCTGATTACCTGATTTTGATCCCCTAGACCCACATGGTAGAAGGAGAGAACAGACTCCCACAAGTTGTCCTCTGACTTCTGCATGTGCCCCTCCTCAAATAAATACATTTAGTTATTATTTTATTTTTTTTTTTAAAGAAGCAGGACACAAGTGGGAGAAAGTTTTTCCTTGTCCTCTCAGGCATCTCGCAGCCATCAGAGGGAGCTGTGTGCTCAACCAAAGCTGGGACAGTGGTAGCTGCCCTGCTTTCCTGTCTTCTGGACATGGTGTGACCTCCCAGCCACCCAGTGAGCATCCCTGTTAGGTCTCCGTAGCTATGTGCTGTGGTCCCTTGGTGCCCAGACAGAGCCCACAGTTATGGCCTGTGGGAGGGGGAACCTGTGCTGGGAGGCCACAGAGAATGTGTGGGGTTGGGGAGCAGGACTGTCTGTTGTGGTCCAGAGAGGGTCAGGACTTGAGTGATTTTCTGGGTGGAGGGTTGGTCCATATACTACAGCCTTCAGCCCCCACTCTGAGCCCAGGCCCTTCTATGAGCCTGCACACAGGCACCCCGTGGACCGCCCACCCCACCCTGTAATTGCCTGTTTATTTGTGTCTCCCCTCTAGAGGTGAGCTCCCCAGGGACAAAGCTGGCCCAGCCTGTTCCTTCCTGCTAAGCCTGCTGGGGCCAGCAAGGGGGAGGGCCCTGAAAGTTTGGAGAACATCGAGCATTCCCATATTAGACCCAGTTTAGCCCTGTGACTCCACAGCTGGCCTTGCTGCCCATCTTCCTGAGTCTTTGATGAACTGGAGCCTGGCCAGGGCTAGCTGCAGATTGATAGGAAACTCAGGCCACTGTGACCCCATCCTGGCCTCCCAAGCTGTGCTCTCTGTCTAGCAGGTAGAGGAAGTGGCTCAGAACTCACAGCTGAAGTCCCCTTTATGTCTTCTGCTCGTGGGCAGGCCTATGTCTCCCTCAGGGTTGGTGCTCCAGCCAGGGTGGTCTCTGAGGCTGGTTTCTATGAGCTTCACCCAGGGGAGGCTGGGCAGGGCTGGGTGCTCTGGGCTAATTGCACTCCACCTCTGGGTGCTGCTGTGGTGACAGCCCCTGGGTTGTGCAGAGGCCCTGGGGAGCTCATTACTGTGCTTTACATCCCCTGCTGTCCCCACTGACTGGGCCCTGTTTGTTGTTACCCCTCGTGTTCTGGTCCTGTTGCCCTGCAGGGCCTCCTCTGCCCCACCCTGGTTTTTCCCTAGAAGGGCAGTGGAGGTGGGTGAGCCTGAACTACACCCTACCCCCCTATCCAGTTGTACATTCCCAGTGTTGAGCCTCGGACACAGATGTGTCATTCCTAGAACACACGTGCCCATCCTCTAGGAAGTCACTCTTTTACTCCTAGACCTGGCTTGGTGCTGGTGGGCACAGGATTCAAAGCCAGCCAGACTGGATCTGATTATGCCTGGGTGCCTTGCTACTTGCTAACCTTGGTCTTCAAAGTAAAACTGACTTTCCAGTCCTCAGGGACAAACCCTTGGCATGTAGAAGTTCTCTGTACACTTCCCTCCCTTCTCTGGCTACATAACCCTTTTCTCTGTTCTTCAGGACCCCTCAGCAGCAAGCTTCCCTCTGTTCTGGGATCTCAAGAGGGTTACTATGGCCTTCCCAACTCAATAGCTTGTTCCCTAAGGCAGATAGTGGACTTGAGGTGACCAGGCTCTGTGAACCCACAATCATCAGTATGTGACTGGGTTAAGCACTTACCATCAGGCACAGCTTAGGCCAGATCCAAGGTCCTCTGTGAGCTGGCATCCCCAGTGCCTGGTGCAGCCCCAAGCATGGGACAGGCCACTGCCTGCTCTGAGTGGCCCTGAGCCCAGGAGGAGTCAGCCAGGGCTTCACCTGGAAGAAAGCTTAGAAGTGGTCACAGAGCAGGGCAAACAAGTGACCCCTATGCAGGGCAAGCACCAGCAGGTGGGGGGAATGAGGCATGGGGTTGGCAGTGCCGGACAGGGCTGGAGTGAGGCATGGCACCATCAGGCCAGGCTATCTTTCAGTTTTAGATGTTTCCCAGCTCTCAGGCACTGAGGCAGGAGGATCTTGAGTTAGATGCCCAGCTTGAGCTACTTAGTAAGACCTTGTCTCAAAAAATCGAATGTTTCCCACTCTTGTCTCTTACCATATTATGAGAAGCTCATGACCTCAGTTATGAATTGGTTCACTGAGAACTGGTGGACGGAAGATGTTACCATGCCCTGTGTCCTGAGGACAGATATGAAAACGCACAAAAAGCCCAAATGACTTTCACCACCCAGAGATAGCAGTATTAGAGGGTTCCTGATTTCCTTCTAGTCTGTTTTCTATGGGGGCCAAAGGGCTTCTTGTTGATGCTTACTTTATATTTATATACACTTCTGCAATCACAGATGCTGGTTTAGAGTGGCTTTTCTGTCCTGAGTTCCCCCTCTGTCTAGCCTCAGGGTCTGGTGACTGAGTGGCTTCCACCTCCCTCTTTGCCCACGGGCCACAAACCTGGTCACACAACTCTTCCCTGGCCGCTGGCACCCCTCCCACCTGCCCTATCTGTGAATCTGAATCACATTGGTCACAGAATTCTTCACATTCAGCTTCCTGTAGGATGTCCCCCTCTGCCCAAGAGGGGACTAGGCTCCCAGGTTCTGTGGCCCTGGATCTGCATCAGGAGAAGCTGAGTCCCTGTCCCATCCCTCAGGATCCAAAATCAGATCCTCTTCCCTTGCCTGTGTCTGCACTATGCTCTCTAACAGATGCCAGCTGCCTCAGTCTCAGCCTCTGGCAGTACTGTCCTTGCCAGCCCACTGTGCCGGTTTATTGCCTGGCACAAAGTGCTTGGCAACCTCCAATTTCTCATTCTTTTGGGGATCACTGTATCAGTGAGGTTAATACCTCCCCTTTGCCTTTGACCCCCATTATTCTGGTCGTGTTTCTTGGTCTCCACTTCATCCATCTTTACCTTCAACTACTTGATGTCATATGTATACCTACAACCTCTCTAGAACCCCTCTCTCTAGAAAGCCTCAGTCAATGGACCCATCTCTGTTTCTTCCCAGGGTTCTGAGCCCCTTCCCCACCTACCTTCCTCTTGTCCTTGAGCCTAAGGTCCATCACACCCACTGTTCTCTTGTTCTTGTCATTCATTCATTCATTCATTCATTTATTCATCCATCCATTCATTCATTCATCCATCCATCCATTCAGCACTCAGCATTCCTGCTGAAGTTCACTCAGCATCTGTGAGAGCCTCCCTCAGGGTATATGGTCTAGTTGAGACATCACAGACACAGAACAAGCAAGGTTTAGGGTCTGGTTTGGTGGCAAAGCACCTACCTACCCATGCAAGGCTGGAGATTGCATTCCCAGCATCCTATTCACACACTCACACTCACACATAGACAATCATACACTCTCACTTAGTCATACTCACACTCATGACACGTACTCTCAAACTCTTAAGTAAACATACAAGTAAAAGTTAGGCTGACAAGATGACTCAGTGGATAAAGGTGCTTGCTACCAAGTCTAACAACTTGAGGTCAGTCCTGGAATCCACATAGTGGAAGAGAGCCAATACCCAAAAGATGTCTTCTGACCTCCATATGTACACTGTGCCTTGAGTATACACATTTAATAAGTAAATATAATTTAAAGAATTTTTTTTGGTCTTTCTGAGACAGGGTCTCCCTGTAGTCCCAGCTGGCCTGGAACTCACTATGTAGACCAGGATGGCCTTGAACTCACAGAGATCTGCCTGCCTCTGCCTCCCGAGGGCTGGGATTAAAGGCATGAGCCACCACGCCTGGCTAATTTAAAGAATTTTTTAAAATCAAAATTTAATGCTGGGAAGCATAGAAGTTCTTCCTCATGAAGGAAGTAGAGCTCCCCTAATAAGAGCTCTCAGCCAAATTTCTCCCTGCCCCAGTTCCTTCAGCTACAGAGCAGAAAGTCCATGCCAGGCAGCCTGACTTCATCTGTCACCATGCAGTTTTCTGGAATTGCTGCCAATGACCCCCCAGAACTTACCCCAGGACTTGAGATGGCTTCATCTATTTTTCTCAGTGCTGAGAACTGAACCCAGGCCCTCCCTCACCCATGCTAGGTGATGGCTGTCCCACTGAGCTCCTTCCCTAGCCTGTAATCTCAGTCACTTGGGAAACTGAGGCTCGAAGATTGTGAACTTGAGGCCAGTGTGAGCAACTTACTGAGATTCTGCCTCAAACTAATAGAAACAGGTCTAGGAGGTGAAGCTCAGTGGTAGAGGCCCTGAATTCAATTTCCAGTATTACAAAAACAAACAGTCCTAAACAAAAACAGCCTGGCATACCTGGCTCATGCCTGTAATCCCAGCACTTGGGAGGCTGAGGCAGGAGGATTGCTGGGAGTTCAGGGTAGTCTTGGTGGTTACAGAGTGAGACCCTGACTCAAAACAGCAACAAACAAGCAAAATAATGAGCCCTGTGCCCTTCATGAGCCTATGGACTCACTTGGCTTCCATCTGCAATGGACTATGCTTGTGGTCCTCTAGACCTTTCAGATTGTTTTCGGTTATCTCTCCTTGCCCGGTGCCTGGGTCCTGTTTCCTAGGTGTGGCATGCTGTGACAGCATCGCTCCCTCCTCACCACCCAAATGCACTCATAGGCTCCAGTTCTGTTCTCTGTCCATATATATTAGCTGGGCTCCTGCCTCCCACCAGCACTGGGGATGCAGTTCTCCAGATTCTTCCCCAACCTCAAGTCTGCTGGGGGAGGGGGAGGATCAGTGCTGGTGGGATGGCCACTAGGATTTTGGTAGACGTGAGAGCAGGGCCTGTGGTGCACTGTTGATGTGAGGTTATGAGGCTTGAGACCTGTGGGTTCAGAAGGGAGGTAGTAGCAGGGCTGGGTGCTGGTCATGGGAAAGGAGGGAGAGATGCCCAGGTCATGGGAAACAGAACAGACAGGACTTGGCAGGTGGGTTTGAGAGTGTGAGGGGAGGAGGAGGCAAGGATGGTCCCAAGCTGGCTTGAATGACTCCGATGACATGGGTCTCTCTGGTCCTGCCTTCTTCCCTCCCTCTGGGGGTCTTCAGGCACCTCCATGTGTCTGTGTTCCCCACTTCCCTCCCAACAGCAATATGGAGCACTCCTTCCATCACAAACAAGCCAGCTTCCAGCCCTGCCACCACTACTGTAGTCAAGGTGGTTGCCACAGCAGTTGACATCAGTGCTCTCGTCCCCGAGGAGCCTGTCACCCTCCTGCCTGCCTACAGCACCTGCATCCCTACTTCTGCCAGGATCAGAGAGGAGGCAGTTGGGCACACACACCCCTCATGTAGACCCCATTCTGAGAACTGGGTGGAGCCGAGAAGAGCCAGTGGCAGCAAGGGGAGGACACCAGGGGAGGTTGAAGGGGAGGAGGGCCTTCTGGTGGCCTTGTCTTCTGCCATCTGAGGCTCTACACATTTGGCTCCTTGACGTTGGTGGAGAGGAGGCGGTGGCAACAGCTGTAGCACTTGGGCCATGGCAGAGGATGGGCCACAGCAACAGCAGCTGGACATGCCGTTGGTCCTGGACCAGGACCTGACTAAGCAGATGCGGCTTCGTGTGGAGAGCCTAAAACAGCGAGGGGAGAAGCGGCAGGATGGTGAAAAGCTTCTCCGGCCAGCTGAGTCTGTGTACCGCCTCAACTTCATCCAGCAGCAGAAACTACAATTTGAGCGCTGGAATGTAGTGCTGGACAAGCCGGGCAAGGTCACCATCACCGGCACCTCTCAGAACTGGACGCCTGACCTCACCAACCTCATGACACGTCAACTGCTGGACCCTGCTGCCGTCTTCTGGCGCAAAGAGGACTCCGACGCCATGGATTGGAATGAGGCCGACGCCCTGGAGTTTGGGGAGCGCCTGTCTGACTTGGCCAAGATTCGTAAGGTCATGTACTTCCTCATCACCTTTGGCGAGGGTGTGGAGCCTGCCGACCTCAAGGCCTCTGTGGTGTTTAACCAGCTCTGATTAGCCCAGGCTGCCCTTCCTCTGGCCTACCACTCTCTCCCCTGGCTGGACCTTTTCCCTTTCATGTGTTTTGGGGACACTCTTCTAGCTGCTCCATCTATACTCAGCTTGGCCAGAGGCCCCCTGAGTCCTACATCTCCTTTTCCCTGGTGTTAGCATTCCGGCTCACAGGGACAGTCTATGGCTCCGTAGTCTAGAAAGCTGGTCGCCACCACTGCTGCTGTAGACCATAGAGGCCTGCCGAGGCCACATGGACAGATGGATGGGCCTTGGACACCTGCCATCTCTGTTTCATCATGGTGGAGAGAGAGAGCACGATTGAGAGCTGAAGAGTGCAACCAAGAGATCCAAACTACCAGCCACCCTATTTTCTGCAGGGACAGGAAGACTGAGATGTGACAGAAGCTGCCTTCTGGGGAACCCAGCAAGCAGGCATTTGCCCCTACTAGCCAAAGCTGGCATCAGAAGGTGAACACCCAGTGGTACTCTGGCAGTGGAAGGTGCTGTTCCCAGCATTGGCACCAGCTTGCTGTGTCCTTAGGCCCTCAAGACACGGGGCAGGATGGCAGCGGGGGTTGGTTTGACTAGTGGAGAATGACTGGTTCCTCAGGTCTAGCCCAGGTTCCTGTGAAGTGAACGGATATTATATAAAGTCACACAGAGTGCTAACTACCCACATACATACATATATATTAAGATAGAGCATGCTGTATTTACATGAATGCATGCCAGAAGGCTATTCTTGGCCAGGAATAAGTTGAGTTTTACTTTACCTATTGAGCAGTTGGTACTGTTTTACCAGCTGGTGTGGGTGACCCTGAGTGAACTTTTTTGGTGCAGGACTTTCTGAGCTGAGAGACTGAGTCTTGTATGGTGAAGCAGGGAACAGGATTAGAAGGGTCCAGAACTCCAAGCTGGGGACCTTGGTGTCTGCTGGAAAGACAGGCCTTTGCAGCTCGCTGGTCAGGGACACAAGTGTTATGTCCTGTCATCATCTCTTGGGGCCCTTCCTGGCTGCTCTATGAGAGCTGAGGTTCACGGGCAAGGTCTGGGGGCAGTGATGATGCCTGTTGTCTGAAGTGGGCTAGAGGTGTCAGGGTGTGATGCATAACAGTGGCCTCTGAGTTCATTCAGGGCAACCCACTCACCAAACTGACAGGGAAACTGAGGCACAGTTATCAGTAGATTCAGTCTTACCCTAAGCCTCCTTCCCCTTCATACTACATAGGCAAGAGCCTCTTTTTGAGGAGGGGCCTGACCTCAGCAGTGCCCCAGCACCCGTCTCAAAGCCAGCCAGCCCTGTTTCGGACACAGATATGAGGGAAGAGCTGTGGGGGGGTGGGGGGTGGCTGCCAGGAGGGCAAGCCCCAGCTCAGAGTCAGGATTCTGTGGGGAAGAGGTAGGCCGTGGTGCTGGTCTTTTGTGCTCATGGCTTTGCTCTATAATGTGCTTAGAGAAAGCGCTGGCCAGTGCCTGTGGCCACGGCTGCCTGGCTCTGCTGACTGCTAGGAAGTCAGATCTAGACGGGCTCTACCCTTCTGCCTCTCTGCCTGACCTCACCCTACAGCTCTTGAGACCCTTTTGGTTCACACTGCCTGTTCCTCAGCACTGCTCAAATCTGTCTCAAGTACCTTTGCTGTGCCTGTCATGCATCTCCAATAAAGGCTGTATGTCCTTACCTCTAGTGTGGTGTGTGTTGTTTGTTGCCAGCTGACATCTTTAGGAACTATCTCCTCCCAGACCCTTGCAATCTAAGCACTCCCACCCTGCTGGTCTTCAGGACGAGGCTGGGAGGCCAGGTCCCATATCACCTGTCTCCAGTCACCTGGCTGTCCTACAGGTACCAGTGTAACCTGTGGAATGTGGAAGGGTGAGCAGAGACCATGCTTGGGGCAGGGCATATGGACCATGGGAGTGACTGAGGAATGGGTGGACAGCCTGACCCTAGTTTTAGTCCAGCTTGGGTCACTGCATGGCTCTGTGTCTGCTAGAAGCTCTTGACCCTCTCCCTGCCTTGACTTTCCAGAGGGAGTCCCTGGGTCTGTACCATCCCTTTCAGCCCTGGGATTATGAAATCTGTGACTGTCTAAAACTGATCTTGGCATTGAGGTAGCCATGGGCGATGCCACTGTAGAGCCCATTGAGCTTTCTTAACCCTGCCCCATCATCTTCCACACTCATCCATTTTTGGAATAGGGATAACTGAGTCCCAGGAGACCTTCTGACCAAGGAACAAAGGGCTGGACTGGCGTACGTGAAACAAGCTCTGAGCCCTTTGGCCTTTGCTCTCACAGCTGTGACCTCTTGTGATGAGCTAGGGAGATGTATTCCGCTACTCCATCTGAGGGCCCAGGCATATTAGAATGGTTTCCTCCAGCCCCATGAACCCATGGCTTACACATGCCCCTGGCTTCAGAGTGCCAAAGAATCTCCCACCCCTACTTCTCCAGAGCTCCCCTCACAGCGACTACCGCCACCCTGCCTCCACTCACAGCATCCAGAGACCCTTCCCAGTGCCTCCTCCCCATGGCTCAGAACCTTTGTGTTTCCACCTGCCCCTCGCTGCCTCTGTCCATTGTCCCCAGCCAACCCCAGAGGGGCAAAGTCCAGGAGAGGAATCTAGCCTTCAGGCCTTGTGAGCTGCCGTAGCCTAGCTCTGTCCCAGAGTGCACACAGCGGAAGTGACTCATTTGCCATGGAAGCTTTGGAGTGACTTCTAGAGCCTCTGTCTCCTGGAGAGCCAGTGTCTGTAACCATAAAGGCTCATTCTGCCACCAGCTTCTTGGCTCCAGGTAGCCTCGCTGGGTCTGTCAGTCAATGATGCCTCCCTTATAGGGAGGCTGAATGAAGAATGTTAGTAAAGCTAGATAGCACCTTGGAAAGGCAGCTGCTTCCACTGGCCCTTTGTTATGGTCCCAGTGACTCCCACTGCCATTTTGAGAGCTTAAGAGTCCTATTTACTGAACAGGGACTTAAGGTTCAGAGGGGTAAAGAGAGTTGCCTGAGGCAGCACAGCAGGCCAGTGATGACGGCAGCAGGAGATGCAGGCTGGAGGGGTAAACAGGTGCCAGGCCAGGCTCTGTGATTACAGAGAATGGTAATGAGGTGAGTTCTCCACTGTAACCAGGCTCAGATGGCCCAGCTAGGTAACCTCTGACCCTCACATTCTGGGTGACTAGAGTGGAGGCTCAGAGCTCTCCTGCCTCTGAGCAGGAGTTGGTTGCTGTGGCCCTGACAGTGTGGACCATCTTGAGCCCTGGGCTCTACTCTCACAGGGATGTGGGGGTGCCACAGGACTTTCTGACCTCATCCAGTCTCCATAGCTGAAACCTGGGGAATTTGAGGCCTGTGGAATAAAAAACTAAGACTTGCAGGGGCCTTCTAGGTTTGAGACTCAAAACGGCCTATGCTTCATCCCACCCAGCTGTGGTGACATGGAATCTCCCTGTAGTCCCCTCCTCACAGGCCTGTCAGGGTTGCTCAGAAATGCCTTAAGCTAGCTAGCCCCTGGGGTCAGGCAGAAGTCTGAATATCTCTCCCCTCTCCCCCCTTCTGCACACTCAATTTCATAACTCACTCATGTTCACAAGCAAATCCTGGACAGTGCCATCTTCCCTTGGTTCTTGACCCCCCAGCCCAGCCTAGAAAGGATCTGCTGCTGCCCCAGGGGGGACTCCAGCCAGGCACTTGGGTCTGAGCAGGAGTTTCCAGGACACCCAACAACAGGTGCATTTTGGTGCATCCAGCAGGGCCCTCCTCTGGTGAACACTGTATAGGGATCCCACCCAGAGCCAGTGAAAGCTCTACATTCCAAAATGTTCTAAACCTCCAAATCTTGGCATCATGTCAGTGCTTAAAAGGGTTCAGATTTTGTATTTTAGATTTTCAAACTACAGCTGCTTGACTAGAATCATTAAATACCCAGTAAGAGTTCTACTTTCCAATCTGTGCCACAAAGACGCACACAGTTTGCAGTTTAAAAGAGCTTCAAACAGAAGTCCATAATAACTACAGGCTGATTGCCCTTCCTTCTTTTCATTTCCCCTGCAATTTATTTTCTGAAGAAACTGGGTCATTTATTGTGTGTGTTTGCCACTGGCTGGATTTTGTTGGCTGCATCCTTGTGGGTGTGTTTGACATCTTCTGTGTCCTGCATTTTCTGTAACCCAAAATTTGATCCCAGAGGCTTGATGAGGTTCAGGACAATTTTTACATACAGGAGTCACATCTTATTTGCTTGTCTTTTTTTTCATGATGTGAAGTGATCATCAAATAAATGTATTATGCAGTTTTGAGACAGGGTCTCTTGTATCTAAGGTCAGCCTCGAACACTCCATATGTAGCTGAATGGGAATTTCTGGTTATCCTGCCTCCACCTAAGTGCTGATAGTGTAGCCGCGCTGTATCACATTTGCTTTATTCAGGGCTGTGGCGCCCACCCAGAGCTTCTTACATGCTAGACAAGCACTGTACCAATGAAGCCACATCCCTAGACCTTATTAGTTCTTTGTGGCAGGGTCTAACTAGCCCAGACAGGTCTCGAATTCTCAATCCTCCTGCCTCAACCCCCTAAGTACTGGGATCACAGGTATGCACCATCACACCTGGCGTCTGTCAATCATGGGTTCAAAATAAAGGTGATCCAATAGTATCCATTCTTCCTCTTTTATTACTTAGAATTTATTTCCAAATAGAGACTCCCTTTCCCCATTGTTCGGTTGGCCTCTGGTATATCTGGCATAACAGAGAGGGTCAGTGTTTCATTCTTTCCCTTAAATTTCCTATTTCAAGAAGTGAATTGATTCCCTGTTTTCCTCCACTAGTACTGTTTTATATCTCTACGACTTCATGAAGTTGAACATACTATGTTTAACTCATCATTAGACCCATTCAGGTGGGTCTGTCTGTGGCCAGCTGAATCTTTTGGTGGCCTACCTGGGCAGGCTGGGGGCATCCTTGACTTATAGCATAACTGGATGTGGTATGTGGACAGATAGCAGTGTACCCACACCTCTTGGACTTTCTCCTTAATCTCTCATTACCCAGCAGGAAGCAGGGAGGCTGGGGATGAGAAGGCTAGTGTGGAGCCCATCCCACACCAAGTCCAATGGCTATGATGCTGGAGGGGAAATTGAGGCCCCTGGGGATCCCACCTCTGGGTCTCCGGCCCTAGAGCCTCATTAGCTGCTTCTTGAGCCACAGTGGGCTCAAGGCCAAACCCCGAGTTTCACTAATGATTCTCACAGGTCTTGGCATACCTGCCCCACACCCTTCGAGGGCTCCTCCTCCCTCCCCTTTCAGTCCAGAGCACCTAGTGCAGGGTGTCTGGGGAGGAGGCAGCAAGGCAGTGGGCCAGACCTTTGGGAGTGGCTCTGTACTTTTGGGTAACTTCTCTGGACCTCAGTCTTCCCATCTGTGTAGTGGGATGACCCTACACTACACAGGGCCCAATTTTGACCTAGTGTTGTGTCTTGAAAGCAAAGTGGGGAGGCAGTACAAGGAGTTGGGGCAGAGGCCAACCTAGTAGTTTTTATTTAAAAGGGTCACAGAGTTGATCAAAGACAGAGGTAAGGAGTAGAGGAAAGGAGGCATCTGGTGATATTGAACTATGCCAGACCTGGGGCCAAGTTGCAAAGCCCAGGTTGGAGTCCTACCTGTGGCAGCCTCTACCAGCAACTTCCCAGAGCATGGACTGCATAGGGTCATGAGGCAAGGGCACTCAGTAAAAAGCCGACCTCTGCCTGGTACTTCACGGGGCTTCTTGCAGAAGAGTGACAGTAGTCCCTCTTCCCAGAGCTGGCATTTTCATTTTCTTGGTCTCTGGTGTCCCACCAGGGAGTACTTTCCTTTGCCAGTGCTCTCACTGATGGTGTGAAGTGTGTAAACAACATGTCCCTAATGACCATAGAGGTGGAGGCTCATGCTGGCACGGAGACTCACGCTGGAATAGCCTCTCAGTTTAAGGCTGCAGCTGTGTGCTGGCCCAGCCTGTGTGCTTGGGAGCTGCTGTCTGGACCGAAGTGACTGTCTTCTAGAAGGAGCTGCTTATGCTCCATCTGAGGCTCAGCCAATCTTGGTCTATACCCAGCAGGGTTAACTGGTAACTCTGCCATGGAGGGGTGGTGTGTTCCCCCTTCCCTGCCCAGAACTGCTTCCCACTCGAGGGTAATCCCTCCTCTCCCTTCCCTTCATGCCCTGTGTGCCCCCTTGTGCCTACCTCTCCCACCAGACTGAGGGCTTCTTGAGGGCAGGGACCACACCTGGTTCATTTGGCCAACAGTGGTCCATCTTGTTAAAGAACTCATTCTCTGTAAACACATGAGCCTGTGTTTGAAGGCTGGCCTCAAACCCAGATTTACCTTCCTCCAAAAAATATGTATTGTTCTTTTTCTAGCTCTGTGACCCTGGATAAATGACTTGCCCTCTCTGAGCCTTAATTTTTCTCAGTTATCAAGCTAGGACAGAGAATAGCTATCTCCTCATGAAGACGTTATGAGAATTACATCGACATAATCCATGGCAAGCCCAGGCCCTGGCATTTGCAAGATGCCCCATAAATAATAGCCATTAGAGTCTAACCCATGTATGTGAATTTATTCATTTAGTCAACACATATGCAACACTTATGCACCTTGGCTGGGCAGGCATAAAGTAAATAGCCTTACCTTTAGAGAAATGACCTTCCAAAGGTAGTGTCAGACCTTGAACACAGTGTCACACAGGCATTTTCTAGATTAACTCAGTAAAAGTAAGGCTTTCAGAGAAGTATCTGGTGTTGAAGCTGATGGGTAGGGGTCCTGGCTTGGTCTAGAGTCAAGGAGGACTTCTGGAGGAGGAGAGTGGCCACTGAAGAGGAAGAAGGATAGGGATGAGCGCCTGTCCAGAAAGTAGGAGCTGGGCTGAGCTGGGTTGGGCTGAGCTGGGTTGGGCTGGGCTGGGCTGGGCTGGGCTGGGCTGGGCTGAGCTGGGCTGGCTATAGGATTAAGTCTTGGAGGATGGGGGGCACATTAGGGAAGTGACATCATTTTTGTTGGTTTGTTGCTATGTGGAAGCCAAGATGGATATGGATGTCAATACTGTTACAGTGTCCTGGGACCAGAGATGATGAGGGGGACCAAGGTGGGACTGGTGGGAGGTCAGAGGCAGGAAGGAGCTGGGAGTACCTGCTTATTGGAGAGAGGGATAGTCTGGCATGGCTGTGGGCTTCCAGCTAGGGCTGGCCTGGGTAGTTAGGGGTAGAAGGATGTGGAGGGAGGCTCGAGGAAAGGAGAAAGGCTGTGGGATCTTTGAGCACTAGGACTGAAGGGAGCCCAAGAGAGTCTCTGGATTCCCAAGGACATGAGAACCGAGTGATGGGGTGGCACTCATGCCCCCCCTTTTTTCCACACAGGTCATCCCGGACTGGAAGGAGCAAGAATGGGACCCAGAGAAGCCCGACATCTATGCCGGCATCTTCCATTTCCATTTCTGGCGCTTTGGGGAATGGGTGGACGTGGTCATCGATGATCGCCTGCCCACAGTCAACAACCAGCTAATCTACTGCCACTCCAACTCCCGCAACGAGTTCTGGTGTGCCCTGGTGGAGAAGGCCTATGCCAAGTAGGTGTGGCTGTGGCCAGGTGGGTTGACCAGGCTGGGGTCACCAGACTGGGGTTGCCAGGCTGGGATGGCCAGGTGGGGTGACCAGGTTGAGTTGCCAGGCTAGTGTGGGTCTGCCTTTAGTGAAGAATTCAGACATAGAGAAGTGAAGGTCTAGTGCCTAGACACACAGCATGATCAGAGCCCAGGCCCAAGACCTTGCCAGCTGGGTGGGTGCTGGGTCTGTGCTGGGTGGGGTGTAGGTCTAGACCCTGTGAGGGGAAGAACTGGCATCTTCTGGAGAGAGGAGAAGATGGGGACCCAGGCAGGTGTTCTGAGCCCCTGGATGCAGGACTGATCCTCATGTTCACAACAGTGGATCTTGACCTCAGGTACACACTGCCAAGCCCCTGGGGGCCTTTGCTGGGATGTAGCTCCTGAAATCTGGCCTAGATGGTAGATGGTTGGCCAGATGCCTATATTCCTGTTTGTAGGCCTTTCTCCTACATCCACTCATCTATCTATCTGTCTGATTGTCCATCTATTCCTTCTTTGCTGACCTCTCCTGTGTGCTATGCCCTATGTTCCCAGAGTCCAGCTAGGGCCTGGCACAGAGCAATATTTGTGGAGCACTGGAAGGTTTGGGGTCAGGAGTGCCAGCAAGTTCCAGCTAGCTTGGGAGGAGCCTCTCTCTGGGTCTTCCTTCCCAAGCATACTCAGGCCCTCACAGGATATGTGTGTATAAGGGGGTAAGAGGGTAGTAGGGAGTATGAAAGGAAGCACAGGAGTTTAAGAGCCTGCATGGAAGAAAAGGAAAGGAACGACAGAACAGCACAGACAAGCCCAAGAAAACACAGCATGCTCCCTGGTGGCCAGTGGTCCCCACCACTCTTCATGCTGGCTTCTCCCTCAGAAGGACTCTGGCCCAGGGCCTCCTGCAGGCCAGGCAAGTGCTCTACTACGGAGCTACATTCCCAGCCCTTGGTTTAGTTTTCTAATAAAGTTTTAGAAATTTAGATTTAAAAAAAAATATTTTATTTTTATTTTATGTGTATGCGTATATTGCCTGCATGTAGGTAAGTCACCTGTGTCGTGCAATGCCCACAGAGGACAGAAGAGGCCATCGGATCCTCTGAAACTGGAGTTATAGACAATTGTTAGCTGCCATGTGGGTGCTGGGATTCAAACCCGGGTCTTCTGCAAGAACAGTCAGTGTT